TTTTTTTCTGCTGAGTAGTACTCCATTGTGGAAATGTACCACATTTTCTCTATCCATTCTTCAGTTGAGGGGCATCTAGGCTGCTTCCAGGTTCTGGCTATTATAAACAATGCTGCTATGAAGATGGTTGAACATATGTCCTTATTGTATGAACGTGCATTATTTGGGTATATGCCCAAGAGAGGAATTACTGGATCTTGAAGTAGACTAATTCCCATTTTTCTGAGCAACCGCCATACTTATTTCCAAAGTGGTCTTACAAGTTTGCACTCCCACCAGCAATGGAGGAGTGTTCCTTTTTCTCCACATCCTCTCCAGCATAGATTGTCATTGGTGTTTTTGATTTTAGCCATTCTGGCTGGTGTAAGATGGTATCTCAGAGTTGTTTTGATTTGCATTTCTCTGATGGCCAAGAATTTTGAGCACTTTCTTAAGTGTCTTTCAGCCATTTCAGATTCCTCTGTTGAGAATTCTCTATTTAGTTCTGCACTGATGGGGAAAGTATTTCTGTGTTTGTTTATCTTATTGATTGTTGAGTAAAATACTGTTTGGCCAATGGCAGCAAGTTAGACAGGACTAGGAGTCAAAGAGGATTCTGGGAAATGTAGTAGAGAAGTGGTGATCCAGGCTGGAAGTGACATAGCAAGGAGAAACAGGAAGGGTCCCCTTTTCCCCTTCCTTCTCCAGCGGCTCCATGTGAGCCACCGGCAAGAGAGGGTGCCAGCGAAAGGCATCCTCTATAAGATAAGTCTTACAAAATATATAGATTTATGATAATTAAGACTAAGCTAACAGTCATTGGCCAAGCAGTTTTGAACCTAATACAAGTCTCTCTGTGCATTAATTGGGGCCCTAACTCGCGTGGGGCACTTGTAGAGTGCACACGTGGCAGTAGGGCTCAGCGGCTTTTGGCGGAAAGATTTATCGTAACACTGCACCCCACTTTTTAATTTCATTGTTTGGTGTCTTGGTGGCTAGCTTCTTGAGTTCATTGTATATTTTGGAAATCAGCTCTCCGTCAGATGTGGGGTTGGTGAAGATCTTTCCCCATTCTGTGGGCTGTCGATTTGTCTTACTGACTGTGTCCTTTGCCTTAAAGAAGCTTCTCAGTTTCAGGGCTACACAAGGTTTTAAAGATGAGATATTTCCCAGGCTTTATAGCCCCGGCCTCCAGAGGACTCCAGAAACACCTCTGCACCAACCAGGAACCAGGTGCCAGGTGGGTGGGCACTGTCACTATGACTTTTGGAAGCATGGTCCTGCCCAGCACCTTGATGGACCAAGTGGGACAAGGAGTCACATACAAAGACCTGGGGCAGTCCATCCCAGGCTCCGAGGAGAAAACATGAGCCCACTCAGCACATATGGTGAGCAAATGTACGGTGTGGTATGGGAGACAGAGACAGATAAATGGTTCATGTCCTTGGACAGGGTTATGTCTGAAGAGGTGAGATAGGCTGAGGTGGGTGGCTTGATTGCCATGCAGGGCCATGGTGATGTCTGGGCTGAAGCTGGGGCCCATGTCTGGGTTCATGGCTCGATGCAGCCTCCATCTCTACCGATGTCTGTGGCTCCTGATACCACCAAAGGCTGAGAGGATAAGGCTGTACAGAGTTGAACCCACCCCTCATTAGCTGTAGCACTAGGGAGAACTGGTCCTGCCCCTCCCTGACTAAAGCACTCAGGAGAGAGGGTCCTACATGTCACCTGGACAGCACAATAGAGCTGCCCCTGAGGGTGTGTAAGCAGGAGGCCTGACCCCACCCCTGCTCATCGATACAAAGGGTGAACCATCAAAGACAATGCTGGAGAGCTCACCCAGGTGGGGTGGAGAGGGTGACAGGCTGACTAACCCTGCAACTGCCCAGGCCCAGAACCAGGGTAACGGAGTTGGCCCACCCCTCCATCCACCCCATCCATGATCTGCAGGAGCACATGAAGGGGCCTGACCCACAAACCTAAAGCTGCAGGATCTCCACTACACAGGGCAACAACAGGATATCCAAGAGGAGTACCACTGAGGGCCCAGTAGCAATAGTGTAGCAGAAACCAAAGGCCTCGAACCAGACCAATGACTCTCTGCGATGAACACTTGCAAGTAAAGACATGTGGACGGAGGGGTTTACTGCATGACTCACTGGGTCATGCCGCAGCTTCCATGATGAGATTTTTCCTTTTTTCTTTCTTTTGTTTTTTCCCTCTTAAATTTTATTTTATTGGTGGAGGGATAGCAAAGACAGAGGTCAGATACGAAGGGACAGGGAAATGGATGGGATCAGGATGCATGATGTGAAAGACAAAGAATAAATGAAAAGAACGTTTAAAATGAGGTAAAAATTGTTGGGTAAATCATGTGAGCAGAGATCTGAAAATAAAATTACTTTCAAGGACCTGCGTCAGCTTCAGAATGAGCTCCTCTGTGCATGAACACCGCAACTACCCTGCACTAAAACCTAGAATTTTTGGTATTCGTGGGGACTATTCTCATGTTGTCCATCTATTTCCTCCCTCTATTAAATTTTCTCAACACTCAATAACATATAATTCAAGCAGATGAACCAAGGTCTAGAATTTCTGCACTAGTACACTAGTATTTTTTTTTTTAAGAGAGGGTTTTTACAATCTATCCCAGGCTGATCTCAAACTGAAAGCAACCTTCCTCAGCCTCCCTGAACTGGAATAACAGGTGTGTACCAACACAGCAGGTTACATTTGTATCTAGCAAGCAGGCATTCATTAAAGTACAGCTCATACACAACCCTTTTGAGATGCCTGGTGACTCTGTCAACATTGCCTGGTTAGTGAAATACTGTACTATCTAGTTTCAAGCATACTCAGTTGAATGAGACCTACCATTATTTTTCTCTAAGAGAATATTAGTTAAACAAAATTCTTGGGTACCAGAACCCAAAGAAGGTCTAGATGAGAGGTGGCACAGTAATCAATGGATACATCTCTGATGTTTCTTTAGAATTTATGACTCTCTTTATGATGTCCACAGATTACTACTTTGATTTGCCATCCTCAGAAGAAGACTGTTCAATTTCACAGGAGGTTCAAGACTGCTGCTTGTTTTTAATTAAAAAACAAACAAACAAACAAACAAACAAAACCAAAAATGCTAAACTACAAGTCTTAAAAGTGGTACCTCTTAAAGCCATTTGTGGTGATTTGAAAGAAAATGTCCCCAAAGTGAGTGGCTCCATTAGGAGGTGTGGCCCTCTTGGAGTAGGTGTGGTCTTGTTGGAGGAAGTGTGTCACTGAGGAGGTGGGTTTTGAGGTCTCATATATGCTCAAGTCACACTCAGTGTTTCAGACCACTTCCTGTTGCCTGTGAGTCAAGATGTAGGACTCTCAGCTCCCTCTCGAGCACCATGTCTGCCTGCATGCTGCCTTGCTTCCCACCGTGATGATAATGGACTAAACCTCTGAATGGTAAGTGAGCCACGACAATTAAATAATATCCTTTATAAGAGTTACCACAGTCATGGTGTCTCTTCACAACAATAGAAACCCTAACTAAGACACCACTGTAATTTCAAATGTTCTTGCATCATAGGGCCAAGAGTAGCACTGACTAGTAGATGCTTTACCTGTGGCAAACGTCCTGTGGGGCAGGCTTGAGGCTGTCTGCTAAGCAAGTCAAACCCTCCAATTTGCTCTCAGATTTGTTCTAATGGGTTAAATGTTTAAGCACTAAGGAAGAATGTTCTCTGCTAATTGTTCTATTCCAAGAGCATCCTCCTCCAGTAGTAAGTGTTGGGCCCTAGAAAGCTGAAGGGAGCCCCCTCACCTTCTCATAGAGCAGCTGAGATAAACCTTGCTTCTGCCTGTCCTGGAAAGACTCACAGAGCTGGAGCAGCCTGGCACATAGGACTTGTTCTTGATTGAAGAGCGGGTGATGGCTGAACTGCAAGCCCACGATGTTAAGATCTAATTGGTACATTTCTCTTTGACCATCCATTCTGCTTCTAAAACAGCATCCCAGGTCAGATTTCACTGCCTTGTAAAGAAAAATATGCCCAAGTTCATTTGATTCTGTTGCCTTTGAAACCACAAGTAATGTTTCCTTATAAAATAACAGACCAGGGGTATTTAAACTCTAGAGCTTCAGAACTATAAAGGTAGCAAATGGCTCATCTTTGAAATTTATTTTAACTCTTGATTTAATAAAATAGTTTTATATTGCATTTTTCCTTTTTTATTACAACAACTTATTTTAACACAGAATATTAATCATCTTGCTGTAAATTATTGTCATCTATGTCATTTCTGTTTATGTGGATGCTGGACTTTCAATTTACAAGATCCAAAATAATGTTTTATAGGAAGGAACACCACTGCAAATTGTGTTGCAACTTTTGCATTAAGAGTTTTGTCTTGTGAGTCAGAGTTACATGGAATTATCTATTAAAACATTATTTATAAGTGAATATACTGGTAATTATGGTAATCATCTGAAGAGTCCCTTGAAGAAACCCAGACTCTTTAAGTGGTCTATGGACACCGCCCCACTCTCTACAAAAGGCCATCTCCATTAGGATACTAGATTGCACCTCCATTATAATTGTCTCTGTCTGGAGGACTCAGGTTATATGCAAAATGGTTCATCTATGTCTTAATCCACCGTCTTCAGTTTAAGCATGTGTGTATAAACGTGTGTGTGGCTGGCTTTTAGTGATGTTATTTGAGAGAGATGGTGAGTTCCTTAGCATGTATCATCTAATCGAATTCACAGGACTGAATCCACCTCAGAAAGATAGCACTGAGCCCTCTCTCTGGCTCAGTCTGGTGTGAAGGGTCTACTGTTGGGGTTTGAATGGGGTTTTACCCCTCGGAAGCTCACACTGAAATTTGATTGCTAAGCCGGGCGTTGGTGGCGCACGCCTTTAATCCCAGCACTCGAGAGGCAGAGGCAGGTGGATCTCTGTGAGTTGGAGGCCAGCCTGGTATATAGATCAAGTTCCAGGACAGCCTCCAAAACACTACAGAGAAACCCCTAACCCCCCACCCCCAAGAAATTTGATGGCTAAAGTTATTTAGAAGTAGGAACAAGTGGGACTTTTAGGAGGTTATCCTTGCCCATTTTTCATGAACAGATTAATCACAAGATTAGTAGCTGCATGAGATTAATGGTGTTTTAGTCTGCTTTCTCTTGCTGTAGTAAAGACCATGGCCAGGAGCAACCTGGAGAGGAAAGGGTTTATTTGGCTCACGTGCCCCGCAGACTTGCCCACAGGCAGAGACTTGCTTAGATATCTCCAACTTGTGTCAAACTGACAAAAAACTAACCAGGACAAATGAATTTAATGGTTCCCTCAAGAGTGGGCCATCGGCTGGTAAAGTCTGTTTTGCTGAGTCTTGAATGCACCCCACCTCTTGCCAGGACACACTGCACTGTCTGGGGACTCTGCCAGCAAGGTCATTATCAGACATAGTCCCTCGACCTTGGAGAGAACCAGGACCTCAGTAAACATCTTTGAAGCTTACATAGTCTGTGATACTGTTATTTAAACAGAAAACTGACTAAGGCCATCCAGTCTGTGTCACTGTTGTCACACCTGCTGTTATGCTGGGGTAAGCGATGCCCCATCCCAAACCTGGTATGGCAGACCAGATGTTCCCTAAGGACTAGAAGCCACCAGCATTATTGATAAACCTCTGACTCTCTACTTTTTCCCCCGAGTTAGTAACTCAGCCTTGGTGGCTTCAAAGAGGAAGGGGAAAATCCATAAAAGCTTGTTTTTAATTAACCATATTTGTTAAGTCCCTGTCCTTTATATAATGGCCAACTCAAGTCTACCTAAGGAATTTATCATTTAATAGTATGCTGGTAAGCTGGCTATTACCATGAAAAACACCAAGAAGACAACATAGTTTAAAACTATTAGATGACAGATTTGGAGATTCAAGTTAGAGAAGCTTGTCTTGTTTAGCAAATGGAGCACTAGCTAGCTGCAACACACACACTTGATTTTATTTGCTCCAGTGGGGAGACATTAGAATTGCCTGGTCTTTTCTTACTCAATACTTACTGGCTATGGTCCTCAGAAGCTAAAACATAATAACCGAGCTGATGGAGTTTCTAATAACAATCAGAGAACTTGAGTTTACACTGTAAGCAAAAGCTAAAGGAGAGAGTGACTATAGACTGTTCAGCTGGCACAGGGTAACGTGCTTTATGAGTTCTCTGTTGCGAAAAATGGTCAAATAAGTAGAGCATTCAGGAGGCAGATTTTAATTCAACAGCAGGAGATGATTAGTTCTATGAGGTACAGGAATGTATTATCTTGGGAGATAGTAAGTTAGAACTTCCACTCCCAAGAATTCTCCATCTTGGTATGCAGAGCCAAAGTCTATTTAAACAATAAACCAAGGAATTACCCTTTCTGTTATTAACCACTGTCTTCATCACTGTTCTAATGTGTGCCAAGACACCATGACAAGGGCAACTCTTATAAAAGAGAGCATTTAATTAGGGCTTGCTTACAGTTTCAGAGGTTTAGTCCATTGTTAGCACAAAGGGGAGTATAGAGGCATGCTGGTACTGGAGCAGTGGCTGAGCAGTGGCTGAGAGCTACAGCCTGATCTGCAGCTAGGAGAGAGAGCGAGAGAGAGAGAGAGAGAGAGAGAGAGAGAGAGAGAGAGAGAGAGAAAGAGAGAGAGAGAGAGAGGAGGAACAGAGAGACAGAGACAGACACAGAGAGAGATGGAGAGAGAGACACAGAGATGGAAAGAGATAGAAAGAGGGAAAGAAGTGGAAAGCAGGGGAGGGGAGGGGGAAAGAGAGAAAGACTGGGCCTGGCCAGCTTGGATTTTTGAAACCTCAAAGCCCACCCCCAGTGACACACCTTCTCCAACAAGGCCACACCTCCTAGTCTTTCTCAAATAGAGCCACTCCCTGATGACTCAGCATTCAAACATACGAGCCACTCCTGTTCAAACCACCACAGAGGCTGTTGGGCATTATATAGTAAAACTAAATTCATATAAACCTAGAGCCAGCGTTTCTATTCTGTGATATTTACCCAATGGAAAATACATGTACACATATAGTCAGAACACATGTGTAAACCTTCTCAGCAGTGTTGTTACAATGGCCAACAACTGGATATGTCTGATATCCATCAATAGAAGAACAGACAAATAAAATGTGGTATTCATTCAATCGATTTTTATACAGAAAAAGATAGGCAAACTATTGCTGCATACAAGCAGTAATTTTCTATGATTTCATTCATGTCAAAGACACAAAACTAACAGAGAAGAGCAATTGCACAGTGCTGAGTGCCACAGTGGCACTTCCCTTGAATACCAGTCAATGGGCTTCTTTTTACAAAGTTTGTATTGTGGTTTTCACTACACATTTTATTTGAGTATTTCCCATCATTAAATAGGCCTCAGTAATCTTAAAGATCACTTAATATTTTACCCAAGGTTAGCTATTCTATGACTAGGCTTAGTATCCTTAGAAGGTAAAATAAAACCATAGAAATAGTAATTGATATAACAGGAGCCATCATCCAGGCATTATCACAAACAGGTTCCTGATGCTTACCTTCCTGTGTATAGTCTTTAGTGCTGGATTCAAAGATTCCTTGCTCATGCTGATCCTAAAATTCCAAGACTGTCTAATAGGTGACGGCAATGACATTATTTCTCCACTTTCTTCAAACCAACATTTTCCCTATCAGAAATACATACAAAATACAGTAATTGAATATTTCACTAAAAACAAATGTCGTATGTGAGCATTAGCTGGTGTGGTACACTTGCCTCCTGTAGGCTGAGCAGGCGGTTTTCCATTTTGTTGCGGATCTTTTTATATGTCGCTGGCTTTTTCTTAATGTAGAATCCTTCATCTTCTAAAATTCGAGGCATCATGCCTTTTGGCAGTTTACGCTGGTTGGCCACTTAATGATAAAACTCAGATAATCACTTTAAAGTGCCCTATAGCGTGGCACATTCATGACTTGTGCATTTCAGGGAAGTGTATTACCTGGAGAGCTACTTGGCACAAAGACAATTGCCTCCTGTCTTTTCATCTGTTCTTGGTCATCTTCATATTCCGCAGCTTTTACTTCAAATAAATCCATTAAAATTACTTCTTCCACAAAATCCTCATCTTGGCCCTCAGCAGCAGTTTGTAAACTACCACCAAATGCAGAGGGTTTGAAGTAACTATCACTTACTGATTTCTGTTGAATATCAAAAATAAAAATCAGTCACCCTATGAACAGCCTGCAGACAAAAGACACATTATGGAGCCTTACTGTGGTATTCCGATCCACCTAGCCCAGATCAAGTTGAAGTTGAAACTATAATATATATGGTTGATAAAATAAGTTTTGCTGACTATAGAGGAACTCATTTAAGGCTACTGTTATATAATGTGTTTTTATAGATCACTGTTCAAGTCTTCAGTGACTGTTGCTGAAACAGAAGAATAACTTAGGTCCCTTCTGCCCTAGGGAAAAGGGTCAGACACAAGACCGATGTGGATCTACAGGGATACAAGACCTATGTGGTCTTCAAACCTCCTCTGTTGCTGAATATTTGACTGCACTGTGACACCCTGAAACTGTGTTAATAAAGTTAACCTTGAGTCAGAGGGTGGAGCCAGTAACTAGTTGACCGGAATTAGCCATAGAGAAGCCAGGAATACAGACAGAGAAGACGGACAGGAAGGAGTGCGGAGGGACTTAGAGATTTAGAGTGCTTTCTTCCATCTGGGAAGCATGGAGAGAAGGTCAGCTGGTCGCCACTCCTCCAGCATTTCTTTGATCCATCAGGTTTTCTCCGCAATATCTGACTCCTGAGTCTTTATGGGTAACAGAACGACTTAGATCAACGAATTTTGGCATCCAGTGCATAGCATGAGATCACACTGTGGCTTCTAAAGCCACCTCTTCTCCCAGCCTCCTCCACTGCTCAGGTAGCTTCTCCTGCCACCCATCCCTCACCCCCTTCCCAGCTGTGGACCCCCAGAGTCAGCCCCTCAGGCTGAAAATGTACATTTAGGGTAAGTCATAAAATAGAATCACAGAAGCACTTTCATTTTTGTTTGGTTTTTAAGATAGAGTCAGCCAGTCAGTATGTTGCTCTGGCCAGTCCAGAACTCACTGTGTAGCCCATACTGACCTAAAATAAAACTCAAGATCCCCATGCTTTGGTCTCCCAACAACTGCTGTGAGCTGCATACCCATGCCAGTGTGTGCCAGCAGCCCTGGCTCACGGAAGTCTTGTGATGCACAATTAGGCATCACTCGGGCTTGTGTCAAGTCTTTCTACTGTCATTTCCCCCTTCCTATCTTTTATATGAAATCACAGAAATATTTTATATCTGATATTTTTGAATTATATTTTAGGATTCAAACAAGGTATGATTCCAACAAGCAGAAGCAAGATTTGGGGGATCTCCACACAGGGGAGCCCCTTAAATATTCTTGCCACCAACTAGGGAGGGTTCTTTGCCCAAGCTGGTGCTTCCATGCCAGTGTTCCTCTACACCACTGTGGGTATAGGCCAAGGTTCTCAATCCTCATGGCCAAGGACAGCGGGCTCTCCAATGTGGCCCGTGAGGATGGCCCCTGTGCTATGGGCATCTTTATGAGCCATATCTAACCTGTCTTTGTTTTCAGTTTGAGTCAAGCTACGATCTTGACTCAATAAGCCCTACCCGCCCAGCTCTTTCTCACTTAGTCTAATCCAGCTGCTATCCCAAACCATCACCTTCCTGACCTTCCGTAGGCAGCTCCCAGCAGGACATTCCTTGTTCTGTCAACTGCTGGGTGACTGGAGTCTAGGCTCAGAAGACCCAAATGAAGATGGATGTAAGTAAGCACTGTGTGACAAAAGGAGATGCTGTCCCTGACTATCTCAAAGGAACAGCCCCCACCCCAACTATGGAGTGGTGAGCAGAACCCTCTGAGAGCATCCTCAGACTTCACCCTGGGTGCACGTATTAGGTTGGACCACCCACTTTTCTCCCAGCAGGAAGGGGCCACACTCAAATTTGGCCTCCTGTAAAATAGATTTCCTCTCTATCCAAGAGAGATAGTGGCTTCCATCAGGAAGATAGCTCTCCCAGATAACTCCAAGTAGCATTCATCTAACTGGGCTCCAGAATGCCCAGCCAGGCCCAGGGCCCCACCCTTTGCTTGACTTCTTTCATATGTTCGCTATAAGGAGGGACCTGCACCTGGCTCCTGTACTCTGCTAGGTGGGATCAACAGAGACAAAAGTTTCTCCTTTCCCAGAAACCCCCCCCCCCCCACTTAACCTCATCTTAAGATACTGGAAGGTCAGTTGTCTTAGTATTTAGGATCTTGGGAAGGACAGAAAAATATCTTCTTGATATTCAAATATTCATTGAGTACCTAACATGCTCCAGAAAGAAAATAAGTAGACAAAAATATCTGTATGGGCAGTACTAAGACTTAGGAAGAAAAACAAAGCAGGGGAAGTGTAGGGAGCCGTCCCTGCATTCTCCATTACAATGATGGTGCCTGCAGGCACTGAATGTAAATTATTTCGCAGGCGCTGGGTAATTTTCCATTTCCTTGATCTCTGCCTATTCCGTGGCTCATATGGCCTGAGGAGCTGAAGCCAATCATAGGGGTGACACGTCCCAGGCAGCGCTGCCAGCCTTTATTAGGGGACGGGATTCTTGGCTCGGGGTCTCCGCTCTGGTAAGCTTATGCTCTCCTCTCAAGATGCATTAAAGCTTTCCTGCAGAAGGATCCGAATGTCCTGTCTGATTCTTGCCGGCGAGAATATCGCGCAGGACAGGGGAAGGACACAGAGAATTTTGGGCTGGGTGGGTTGGAACTATTATTTTAGATAGGACTTTCAGGTATAGTATCTTCAATCATGTGTCATTCAAGCTGACACCCAAATGTAGTGAGGGAAGCAACATGAATCTAAGACAGGAACTTTCAAGGCAGATAAGTGAGGGTAAAGTCCCCAGGGCAAGAGGGGACTGTAAGGGAGGAACACATAGAGGCATGAGGCTGGGGTTAGGTGATGGAGGAGGAAACCAGAGGAAATGATACAAAGACAGAGCGCTACTAAGTGGCCAGGTCGTGAGGGCCTTGAAGAATGCCAAAAGGACCTTTGCCTTCAATGTAAGTACAACGAGAAACTCTTGGAAAGGGTTAAGCAAAAGAATGGTCTTAGGTTGTAAGAGGATTGCCTCAGGACTTCATGGTACTTGTTCCAAGTGCAACGGTGGAGACAGAGAGAGGCTTGGCGGTGGTTTAAACCAGAGTGGCACCTGTGAAGGTAAAAACCATGGGTCTGATGATGGGGCAGTCTGAAGGTAAAGCTGACAGATTTGTGATGAACTAGGTATGAGGCCTAAGAATAACGCAGGATCCAGGTATGACACCAACAAGGTTTGGTTGGAGAACCGGAAGAATGGAACTGGCACTCACGCATTCTTTCTATGGATGAATGTGCTGTGTATATAAAGCTGGGGATGGTGCATGAGCACAGAGAACAATGAGGGGAATGGTAACAAAAATTTTCTCAGGACAGAAGGTTTCAGACGGTGTTTATTTTTCCCTTGTAGTTTCTGAATTAAGTTTTTGAGTAGTGTTTGTGTTTTATTTTTCAAACTTTTAAAAATAAAGTTTTTATTGTTGTTTTGTGGGGTTTGTTGGTTTTATGTTTTTGGGAGAAGGGTCTCACTACACAGATCAGGCTGGCCTTATCTCTCAAATGGTGGGATTACAGGCATGCCCCATGAGGAACAGCTGACAGTAAACATTTTTTATCATAAAAAAAGAAACCTAATAAAAGCAGTAAAAGACCACAGCAGAACACACAAAAATAGATGGAAAGAACTGGAAGTGAGCAGGGAGGACCCAGGAGACCAGGAGGACCTTGAAAGGAGGATCCAGGGGATGCAGCAACATACTGGCTTTGAGGACTGGGACAGTGGGTTCTGGGTGGTAGGGCCCTGAGGAAACACAAAGGTTCACACTGGAGGAAGTCACAGGGACGGGACAAACAGTAAAACAGAGCGATGGATGCAGGGGTGGGGAAGAGGAGTGAGAACCAGAACTGGAGTGGGGTGTGGGACAGGCACACAGCATAACCTGCTGAGGAGTTCCAGAAAGAACAGGAAGACCGGAGAGAATGGGGGGGGGGTTGTGGTTGGCTGTGGAGGAACAACAAGCTGGAGAGATGTGAGGAGTAATGGAGACTACAACGTGAGGGGTGACGGAGACTACAACGTGAGGGGTGACGGAGACTACAATGTGAGGGGTAATGGAGACTACAACGTGAGGAAACACTTCTTAGACAAGAAAAACAAAGGACACAGAAGTTCACAGGCTGTGGATCTAATACCTCACACTTCCCTGCTCTGTGGATGCTCAACTCTCCCGCTTTAGTTTCCTTATCTATAGAATATAAACAATAAAGCATGTCTCACAGATTTGGGTATGTGTGTACATGTGGGCCTGAGTGTGTGTACACGTGTGAGTGAGTGTCCAGGCAGAAAATCACACCAGGTGTTGTTCTTAGGTGAGCTCCATCTTTTTTTCTGAGCCAGTCTCTAATTGGCTTGTAATTTGTCAAGTCGGCTAGACTGCCTCTCCAGGATCCTGCCTGTTGCCTGTCTCTGCCTCTCCAGGGTCCTGCCTCTCTCTCTCTCTCTCTCTCTCTCTCTCTCTCTCTCTTTCTCTCTGAGGTACCAGTATTACACATGCATACCACTTGCTGCCATACTTGGCTTTTTTACCTGGGTTCTGGGGACCAAGCACAGCTCCTCACATGTGCATGGCACATGAGCTAGCTCCCCAGCCCTCACCTGTGAGCATAGAATATCACGATCCATTTTGATAACACAGTATATCACCAAACATCAAGTAAGCACTCAGTAAATGTTAGGTATTGTGATGAGCAGCTCAACTCCAAGAGAAAAGAAAGGCATAATAATGAGATTTTCATCTTCCAAGCCAGACATAAGGGTGCATGCCTGAAATCTTAACACTCAGAAGGCTGAGTAGGTGTAGGTGTAGGTGTAGGTTCTTTTCAGCCAGGTCCCGCCCCAAATAAACACACAGAGTCATATATTAATTTATAAACTGTTGGCCGATGGCTAGAGCTTTTTATTGGCTACATCTGTCTTAATTATTAGCCCATTTTTATAAATGTATGTATTTCCACGTGGTCTTGGCTTACCAGAGAACACCCTGGTATCCTATCCTCCCAGTCTCTACATGGCGTCCCCTTTCAGTCCCTGTGTCCCTACCTTTCCCAGAATTCCCCTCGTCTCCTAGTCCTACCTATCTCTCCCTGACTCTATTGGCCAAACAGTGTTTTATTCCTCAACCAACAAGAGAAACATATATACAGAAGGACTTCCGCCATCAAGTAGGAGGGTCCAGAGCTTCTGGCCAACTTGGGTTACAGGGAAAGATCCTGTCTCAAAATGAAACAAAATGCAAACACACACAAACACACAGAGGAATATTGCGAGACATTTGGTTATACCATGTAAAGATTGTCACTGATTGGTTTATGAAAAAACAAAACAAAACAAAACAAAAAAACAAAAAAAAAAAAACTAAATGGCCAGAGCTAGGCAGGACTTCCAGACAGAGATCTCTGGGAAGAAGAAAGGGGGAGTCGCCAGCTGGACACAGAGGTAGCAGGACATGTAGGAGGAGAAGTCAAAGCCATGGGCCACGTGGAAGCATGCAGATTAATAGAAATGGGTTAATTTAAGTTTCAAGAGTTACTTAGAAACAAGCCTAACCTAGGGCTGAGTTTTCATAAATTAATAAGAAATCTCTGTGTCGTTATTTGGGAGCTGGCTGACAGGACAGAGAAAGACTCATTACACACGGATCCACCTCCTGTGCGGCTCTTTCATCCTATGCTTTTAACAAGTAGCTGGTTTAATAAATAGTGGGGGAGAGTAAGGACGTAAAATGGAGAAACAAGTCTTACCTGCTGTGCAGACCGGCTCACAGCCGAGTCTTCTTCCCCACTCAGGATGAAAAATGAAAGACCTTCATCCAGCAAGACTTCAGTCTGGGGGGTTAAACAGCAGCAGACAAGTGTTTAATGTAACGGATACATGCACCGTCTGCATGCAAGCCAAGAAACATTTCCATAGGACAGATGGTAGCTTAGTAGCAAACACGGAACAACACAGCAGCTATTTTACTAGCTTGTATCACTTAGCTTTGATTCATAACTTGCCCGTGTGTGTGTGTGTGTGTGTGTGTGTGTGTGTGTATGTGTGTGTCTACCCTCTCACGCTCACCTGAGTAGTTGGGGGATTATTTCACAATTTAATCAAAATGCTGCCTTGGGTCAATGTTCCTATTTCAAGTGTCCTCATGGACATATGCTCACATTTACCCACATGCATGGATGGTATCCTACTCCCACAATATTGGGTGGCATATTCTTAGTTACAGACACATTCATAAATAAGTCCTCTCTTTTCCATGCTGCAAATTCAGATTCTTTGAAATACAAATAATACTACT